GGGGGGCTCGGGGCTGGGGCAGAGCCGCCGCTGCCCAGGCTGGGCGCCAGCGCCCTCGTCTGTGAGAGTGGCCCCCCCAGGGCCCCCTTAGAGCTGGGGTGGAGGGAGTGACGTGCTAACTGGGAAAGATCTCCACGGGCCCATCAACCGTCCGTGATTCTCAGGCACGGGCGCCTACTTCAGAAAGGACGTTCTCCTCCATCACTGTGGCCGGCGCGAGACCGCTGGGTGGGGGATGGAGGAGGAGCCCAACACAGGCGTCTGGACGACCCAGGTGGCTCACCTGTCTAAAGGGCCCAGGGCCCTGCCCCTCCCCTCCTCCCCGACCCCAGGCCCCCGCCGGCCCCGTTACCGGTTGGAGAAGCGCAGCCAGAACACGTCGTACACGAACAAGGTCAGGGGCTTCACCGACCGCAGCAGCACAATGTAGCGGATGTCGAACTTGACCTTGCCCACGTCATCTCGGAGGAACAAGACGGGACTTTCAATGTACTTGGACACAACCTGGAGGACACGGACGGGGGCTCACCCTCGGCTCTCGCCTGCCCTGGGCCAGGGCAGAGAGCACCTCGAGCTCACGCTGAGCACTTGGGGCCTGGCCACGAGGGCCCCTCTCCTCTGCCCCGGAGGAACCTGAACCCAGTGCCCACAAGGCAGAGCCACAGCTGCGCTTCCCTCCTCTGCCTGCCTTTTCAAACCCTGCCTAGGCTGCAGCAAATTCTTTTTACTCGTCTTCTTTAATTAAACAAAATCCCGCCAGTTTCCAGGTTTTGAGAGTGGAATACGAATCCTCGCCAATGGCTCCGCCCACTGCCTGCAGCCCTCACAGTGACCGTATGGCACTGTGCTGGCCACTGCCTAGAGGGATGTCAATCCCAGCGCTGCCTCTGATGTCTTGTCATTGTGGGATCTTGGCCGTGGCCTGAGGGGCTTCCTGCACAGGCCTGGCGACCCCCCTCCTACCAGGCAGTCATCTCCGGTGCAGTATGTCCTGGGGACTTTGCGGTCAGACGCACCCAGGATGATTCTAACTGAGGGTCTCCCGCACTCGCCTGGACTGTCGCGCGCCCTTCCCGATGGCGACGGCACAGTGGAAGGGGTGGGGGTGAGGGCGGGGCGTCAGACACCAGGCTCCAGCCCCAGCTGAGTCACTGCACACCCTCCTCCCCAGGCCTCCCCACCACATGGCCCTATCGCAGAGCCCCCCTCCCAGCTGAGCGCCCTGGGCCCACCTTGGGGGTGCTCTCTCGGTGCCGGACGATGCTGTGGAGGCTCTTGGTGATGTGCGTGTCCAGGCTGCGGGCCAGGTTCCAGGGCTTGCAGATCCAGTGGTTGTCCTCACCCCTGGGGAGCGCAGGGCTGGCTGGTTGCACCCGGGGCCTGTCCTCCCAGGAAAAGCCGCCCCAGGACCCCGGCAGCAGAGCTGGGAGGGGGGACTCGGGGAGGAAGGCGGTGACTGTCAGGGTCCAGGGAGCTGCGTTCTGGGGAAGCAGCAGCCCCAGCAGAGGCCCAGAGAGAAGCCCTCGGTCCCCGTGCCACAGCTTGGACGCCGCAGGCGCTGGGCTTAGGGGCAGGCTGGGCACGGCCGAGATGGGGACCGGGCGGTGGGAGCGTGGTGGACCGTCCCCATCGCACCGGGCTTACCGCCGCTCCCGCTGCTGGAAGTAGCTGATAAACTGGGGCAGCTCAGTGCGCAGGTTGAAGGTTCGGGGCAGCCAGGGGGGACCCTCGGGGCCCCCGGCCCGGCGCGCGATGGAGGCCAGGCAGTCCTTCACGGTCAGCAGGCTCTCGCAGGGGAACTGGTTCAGCAGCACGCCCGGCCGCTCCTCGCTGAGCCTCCTGCGGGCAGGCGCAGGTGCGGCCGTCACGGGGTGGCGCGGGGCGTGGGGTGCGGGGCGGGGCTGGAGGCACCCTCACCTGTAGTCCTTGAAGTGGGAGAAGTTGAAGAGGATGTCGGCGTCCGCCTCGCTCTGGGTGAAGGTGAAGCGCGGGTGGGTGAGGGCCCTGAGCACCTGCTGCATGTCCGTGTAGACCCTGTGGGACGTGGTGAGTTGAGCTGGGCCCCCGCGCCCACAGGGAGCCCTGGCTCGGGGACTCCCCGCCCGTCACGATGCGGGACGGACTGGGCTCAGGCCCCAGCTCCTCCGCTGACCTGCCAAGGGCTGGGGCAATGCATACCCTGCACCCCCAGGCTTCCATCTGTAGGACGAGACCACGGGATCTGCCTCACATTTGCTGTGAGGATTAAACAGGACTATTTGGGTGTTTAATGCTAGTTCTTTCTTCCCACAGAGAACAAAAGAGGACGGGGCGGACACTGCCGATCTCACACGGACATGCCACGTGGGCCTTGTGAGGCCTCTGGCCCGGAGGAGGTGGAGAGGGGCTGGGCAGGGGTCACAGCCAGACCGAGTCTCAGCAAGAGCCCCTGGGGTGGCCTGGCTGGGGCCAGCAGTGAGGAGACCCCGGGCACCTGGTGGAAGGGGGGTAGAGGCCAGCCTCAGCCCGGGCCGCAGTGGGACCTGCCCGAGTCCTGCTCTGCACCAGATGGGCGCAGCTCTGCACCCCACCTCCTCTCCTGCAAAACACAGCAACTGCTTCCGCAGGGGCCTGGCCTGGACCTGCAGACTCCTGGGAAGGGCCCCTCCGCAGCGCGGGCACCTGTTCGAGGTGCCTGGCACGTTCACAGCCCGCACAGGCTCCCCTGGGAGCGGCTGGCATGCGCGGGCCTGGCCGTGCGTCTGCGTTCCCCGGATTAAATGAGCACAGCGGACCCAGCGAGCAGAGCAGCCCCGTGTGGCGGAGTTGGGGACACGACCCCCCATGTCTGCAGGATGGCAGGGGGCGCCCCACGGCGGCCCGATGTCTCTGCCCAGAGTGCCCCTGCCCGCTGCCAGCATTTCCACGGCCTACTCCTATTTTTAACTTTCAAGGGTGAGTTTAAAATCTGCTTTCTCTGGAAGCCCTGCTCGCCCTCCCTCCCCACAGCACTCCGTGATCCGAAGATCTGTGCCCGGGTATTTCTGTCACCACCATGCCCAGACTGCACGCGGCCAGGGCACAGCTCACTCGCTGAGCGTGGGAGACAGTGACCAAGGACGGGTCCCAGCACGTGCAGAGAAGGGGCCACACACCTGAAGACGTGGTCGTGGGGACGCGGCACCGCTGGGCTGATGGCAAGCGGCAGCTTCTCCTTGTTCTCCTCCAGAATGGCCTGGAAGGAAACACACTGGAGCTAGAAACAGGCCTTAGTGAAGGCCCGTCGGGCTGTGGTCTCGAGGGGCACAGGGCCACCCTCAGGTAGGGCCCTCACAGCTGCCGCCGACACCCAGTATCCGACGTCTCTGAGTGGCCCCCGCCCTGGGATTGGGATTCTGGGGCTCAAGACACAGCCCTAGTTTGGTATCAAAATAACAAGGCAGGCCAGGAGGCTCACGCCTGTAATCCTAGCACTCTAGGGGCTGAGGTGGGCGGATTGATCAAGGTCAGGAGTTCGAAATCAGCCCGAGCAAGAGCAAGACCCTGTCTCTATTAATTGGCCAACTAAAAATATATAGAAAAAATGAGCCGTCATGGTGGCGCATGCCTGTAGTCCCAGCTGAGGCTGAGGAGGGAGGCTGAAGCAGGAGGATCGCTTGAGCCCAGGAGATTGAGGTTGCTGTGAGCTAGGCTGACGCCACGGCACTCACTCTAGCCCGGGCAACAGAGTGAGACTCTGTCTCAAAAAAAAAAAAAAAAGAACAAGGCAAACATTGCTTTAAATCAGTGCTACCTGGAAATCACAGGTGGCCAAGAAGGTGCCAAACCAGTTCTGGGAGGCGCTGCTTGGTGCTGGAGGGGCCGAGGGCTGTGCTGAGCTCGGGCAGCGTGACAGTTTAAGACACGTCCATAAACTCTCTGATGCCCGCTTCAAAGGCAGGGCTTAACGAGCTGCTTCCCACGGACAGAGACAGTGGAAGCGACAGTTTTGCTTCCCAGACTGGGTCACGAAGGCCCCGCAGCTTCCTCTGGGCTTTGTCTCGGGTGACTCGCTCCCAGAGAAGCCAGCGCCACGGCCGGGCACTCAAGCAGCCCTGAGGAGAGGCCCACGTGGGGAGGCAGCGACTCGCCAGGCACGAGTGTGCCACTCGGGAGCGGGTCCTCAGCCCCGTCACGCCCCGGCAAGGCAGCTCCGACGGGCACCTGTGCACCTTGTGGGACCCTGAGCCAGGAGCACCAGCCGAGCCACCCCTGAACTCCTGCTGCTGGGGGCTTGCGTGGGGTGGTGCACGCTTGCTGTCTTGGAGTTCCCTGCCACCCGGCCACAGCTGACCAACACAGGCAGCCGAGGCCCAGGCCGCAGGCCGGCCCTGACGGCTTGCGTGGGAAAACAAGGCGCGCTTGGCCTCGTGGCTCCTCTTTCTGGCCAGCACAGAGCTTCCCAAGGAAAAGTGCTGCCTGTAATTCATGTTCCATCAACAACCGCAGGCCAGGGCGCGTCTGTCCCTTAGCCATTGGCTGGCTTGTTCAGACAGACGTTCACTAAGCGCCCCCCACGCCTCTGAACAACAGCGATCTGGATTTCAGCTCGGTTAAGTTCAATCCCTGCTGACTTGGACTGAGAAGCCAACAGCACCACTGCCCATGCTAGCGAGTTCACGTGTTCAATCCTCCCCAGACCCTTGGAGGCAGGGCGAGAGCACGGCAGCCTCCGCCCGCCGCCATCAGGCCCCCTTAGTTCCGGACTCTGGCTCTCCCACAGGCTGTGTGGCCTTTGGCAAGTCACTTAACTAACTTCTCTGTGCTTCAGCTTCCTCATCCCCAGTAAAATGAAGATAAAGCAGAACCAAGAGGCTGCCATAGGAACGCAGCAGGGCGTGCCCTCTCGGGGCCCCCAGCCGACGGGAGGCTGGTTCTGGCGGGGGCTGTGCCCCCATCCGCTCCACTTCCTCCCACCCCTGCCTCCCTCACCGCGAGCCCGCACTTCAGGGGGGCAGGCTGGGCCCTGACCGAGGCTGCCCACAGACTGGACGTGCCTTTGTCATCCATGGCAGTGACAAGACTTGTCAGGGGCCTGCTGCATGCCAGGAAACGTCCTCCAGCGTTTGCACAGAGGACCTTCCCCCCCCACCCCCGGCGAGGGGGGTGTGGACGGGAGGAAAGGGGACCAAGCAGGGTTCACGTGTCCAGCGGCACAGCCCCCAGCGTCCATCCTGAGAGGGGCAGAGCAGCCGCCAGCTCTGCCCGACCCTCCGGGGACGGAGTCCCAGCTCAGCACCCGGGACCTGGGTTCGGGGCTGGTGCCCAAGCTGTGCGGCCACGGGAGCTGGTGCTCACTCTCTGAGCCCCTCGTCACTCAGACGCTCCCAGAACCCTGCCCTCCCTCCCACGGTTACCAGCTCAGGGCCTGGCACCCGGCTGGTGTCCGGTAACACTTGGTGTCCGGATGGAGAACATTCCAGAAGCCACCAAGCAGGCAGGCCCAGGGTGGGAGGCGGAGGCCGAGGCGGTCACACCTGGTAGTGCTCAGCGGGCGGCTCGGGCGTGGCGGAGCTGAGGTCCTGCATGTCGGCGGGGGCCCAGGGCAGCAGCACGCACCTCCTGATCAGAGGGTCTGCCTCTCCGTAGGCAAAGTCCCGGGTCACCTCCTCTGTGCCGAGACACGTGTGCCCATCAGACTGGCAGCAGGACACCGGCCTGACGCCCGTCCTCCGGGGCAGGTGGGCACTGGACTTACCACCCGCGTCCAGGTCCCTCAGGGGCCACAGCAGCGTGTAGGCCACCTGCTGCGGCATGTAGAAGAAGGGCGCGGTGGCGAAGCTGGGCACGTCCGCGTGCTGGATCCGGGAGCCGAATTCATCCATGATGTACCACACGGGCACCTTCTCCTCGGCTGTCTGCGAGCAGAGCACACACGCCGCCCTCGTCCATCGGCCTATCACCCGGACTCCCTTCCGCGGACCCAAACACCAACCACCCGTGCCTCCACACGACCCCGCCGGGACTGCAGGGTTTCCCACACGCGCCCCCTTTAGCAATCCCAGGTCTCCTTGCAGACCAGGGCACAGGCCCGTGTGTGCAGTGCGCCACCCCGTGTGGCAAAAGGGTGCTGGGGACAAGCACTTAGCCCAGAAGCCACAGGGGTTCGTCTGAGTATGTGTGTGGAGGCAGGAGGAGAGACTGGGAGTCAGGGAAGGCTCCCTGGAGGAGGTGGCATCTAAGCTGAGATCATCAGAAACAAGCATGTGCCTCTTCCCAGCCCAAGAGTAGGGAGGGGCTGGAGCGCAGGGGTGAGTCTGGAGGGGCCTGCAGGGCTGGGTGAGGAGGACGTGCTGGAGGGACTCAACTTCTCCCAAGTGTGGTGAAGAACTGTTGGCCAGGTGCGGTGGCTCACGCCTGTAATCCTAGCACTTTGGGAGGCCGAGGCGGGCGGATTGCTCGAGGTCAGGAGTTCGAAACCAGCCTGAGCAAGACCTAGACCCCATTTCTACTATAAATAGGAAGAAATTAATTGGCCAACTAAAAATATATAGAAGGCAAGGCTCGGTGGCTCACCCTAGCTCTCTGGGAGGCTGAGGCGGGTGGATTGCTTGAGCTCAGGAGTTCTAAACCAGCCTGAGCAAGAGCGAGACCCTGTCTCTACTATAAATAGAAAGAAATTAATTGACCAACTAATATATATAGGAAAAATTAGCTGGGCATGCTAGCGCATGCCTGTAGTCCCAGCTACTCAGGAGGCTGAGGCAGGAGGATCACTTGAGCCCAGGAGTTTGAGGTTGCTGTGAGCTAGGCTGATGCCACGGCACTCTACCCCAAGCAACAGAGTGAGACTCTGTCTCAAAATAAAAAAAACAAACCCAAAAAACTGTTGAGGACTTTTAGGAGGGTGACAGAAGCAGAGGGGCCAGGAAAGAGGCAGCTGAGTTGCCTGGGCCCAAGTTTAGGGGTCAGAGAGAGGGCTGTGCCCGGTGAGCTCAAATGCCGGGCAGGCACCGGGGTCCTCGGCACTGCCTGGCCCAGGCGAAGAGGCAACGTGTGTCGCTGAAGCACAGGGACCCCGGGGGTTTCCAGGGGCCACAGGAGGAGACGAGTTTGCTCCCTCTGGCCTGTGTCCTTGTCTGCCCCCCGCCCCGGCTGGCTGCCCACTCACCCCCTGGGCCAGCTGGTAGGTCTGGTTGAACTTCCACATCTCCTCCAGCACCAGGGCCACCGCGTCCTCGCTGGGCAGCTCGCCGTGGAACTCGACGCCCATTAGGTTGGCCATGCGGTGCAGCAGCCCCGGCACCTGCTGCAGTTGGCGGCGGGCGTGCTCCACGCGGCACGTCCAGGCGTGGTCAATGAGGAAGATGCTGTGGGCACAGGCCACGTGTGAGGCTGCCGGGTGGGCCAGGACCTGGCACCCAACTTTACTGAGACGTGGTGTCCCCAGCACCACAGTTGTGCAGTGGTGGCATCAGGCCGGCCACCCTGATGCCCAGATCACCTTGTGGTCCTGAGCAAGTGCTGCTTTCTCCTTGAACAGGGCAGCCGGGGTCTCCACCACCTACCACCAGCTCGTCACAAGCACCAAGCAGACAAACGGCACGCCGACGGCATGCCAAGCACTGTAGCAGACAGCAGCACCACTAGCACCGCGTGTCCTCGCTGACTCTGAGTGGCTGGAGGACTGGCCTGTGTGCCCCGTCCCGCCCCTCGGGCAGGGCACGTGCCAGGTGCTCAGCAAAAGCCAAGGCTCCATGTGCCGGGAGGCCAGCGGCAGGCGGCCGCACAGGAGCTGGGACACGGAGCTCGCACACACACACCTGGGGCCCCTGGAAGCACCAAGGCCTTTCTGTGGGACAGGCTTCAAGTCCCCACACACAGACGCCCGAAGCCCGCACGCTCCGGCTTCCCTGGAAGCACTCAGTGGGCCCGCTGCACGGCTGCCGCCAAACACAACATGGCGGTGGCAGCGTCAGGCGCCCCCACTGCAGGTCCGAGCCGTGCCAGCCCTCCCACCCTGCAGGGGCTGACCAGCAACTGTCCCCGACCACTGTGGAGCAGCAGTGACAGGGCCCCGACAGGCAGGGCTGCCCTCGTTGGACCCAGGACCCTAAGATGAGAGGAACAGCAAACGTTCCAGTTCCTAGGTTGGGCAGTGTCCAGGAGTGTTTATTTTGCTGTGCTTGTATCTGTTGTCTGTTTGCACAGCCTAAAATAAACGACGATTTACTCCTGCTCCTGTGCTCAGAGCTGGTGACTGCACGACGCGGCGTGCAGAGCCAGGCCTTTGGGGTCCGACCCTTGGGGTTGACCCTGGTCAAATGTGCTGGGGGCTGGCGTACACACAGGCAGGTGGGGGACAGAGGATGGAGGAACTTCTTGGGGACTGGCAATCAGGGAAGGCTCAGTGGACAAGGGGCTGGGGACAAAAAGGCCCAGGAGCAAATGGAGCTGAAATGAACCCCTCCCAACGTGGGCTGGTGGCAGTGTGCGTTGTTAGGCCTGAGAGAGACCTTGGGCTCCCCGGGTGGCTGCTGCCTCCTAGGAGGATTCACCTGTGCCCGGGCCTGCTGGAGCTGCGCTGCAGAAGAGAGCAGACCCCGCCGACGAGCTGTGTGTGGACACGGGCCCTGTGACCCTTGGGGACCAGGACGTGTCTTCCTCAAGGCTCCAACAATGCCTTCAGCACAGGGGCCTGCAGGCCTGCCCTGCCTGAGGACGCCCGGGCTCCAGCGTCAGCTCTGCTCCAACCACCCGGTGGCCCCGGGCAAGGTCAGGCCTGCTCCGGGTTTCAGGCCCTCATGCCTCCCGGGGGCCCACCCCGAGAATCAGATCCAGGGGGAACCGAGGAGGAGCTCTGAGCAAGGCTGACCCAGGTTCAACACCCGCACCCTTAGCTGGTGGGGTGACCTCGGGCAAGCCCTTCCCCTCTGCGGGCTTCCTCCTTAGCAAACTGGGAGCTCAAGATGCGCTGTGGCGGGACCACTGTGATGGCAAGACCCCTGGGAGGCACTCTCAGGACCTCGTCGACCTAGTCACCGTGGGACTGAGATCATTGTTGACAAGGACACCGCCCGAAGCCTCGATGGGAACCCAGGCGGCCACACGTGCACACAAGCCACCCGAGCGTCTGCAGTTACCGCTCCCCCCAGCAGTGATGATCCTGGTAAGGATCAACCTCTCTAAAAGGAAAACAGGCCCCCAAGGTAAGTGACCGGTGGCAGCCCCAGCTCCTACCTGTTGGGGTCGGCCGCCTGGAGCCCGCTCTCCCTGGTTACGATGACCTTGTAGCACAGCTCACGGCCCGGGTTGGGCTGCTTCTTCCTCGCCTCCTGTGCCGCGGCCTCCTCCTCCTCCTCCTCGCCCGCCTCCTCCACTTGCATTATCCCAAACACCTCCCCAGCGTCGAACACCTGGGGGCCAGAGCTCGGTCAGGGGTAGGTGTGGACAGAACACCCCATCCAACCCCTTAAGGACACCAAGGTGCCACAGCCAGGCCTTGGGGACAAACCTGACTCCTGAGACGAGCCGGGGCTGTGGACTGTGACCTACTCCCACCAGCTTACAGGCGGGGAAACTGAGACTCCCAGAGACATCAGTCACATCACCTGTGCTGTCGCCAAGGCCCCTCATCCCACAGGACACCACGCTTGGTGTTCTCAAGCCCCTTGCTTTACAGAGAAAAGAGGTCCAAAGGGGAAGATGGCTCTAGCTACAGTGGAGGTGGATGGAAGGGTCAGGATCTTGGGGGCTGGGCAGCGCACCCCAATCTTTTTCTAACCAGAAGAACCCATCCAACACCACAGCAGCGGAGGCAGCCCGCAGGGAAGCCTCCTCCGGCCACCCTGCCAGCTCCGCTGGCAGCGCAGGCCTGCGGGAGCAAGGCGGGACGGCCCGGGCTACTCTCAGAGGCCCCAGGGCCAGGCGGGGCAGGACAACAGGGCCTTGGTCCTGGAGTTTCCCTGGCAAAGCCACGTGTGGACAGCAAAGCAGACAGACTGGCCACTTCGTGCATGCTCTGGAGCCAGAGGGGCCCCAGGCCCAGCCACTCATGCAGTGTCCGTCAATGGCCAGCAAGGGGGGCCTCTGTCTGGGCAGGTTCTGGAGCCAGGCTAAGTGGGTTCAAATCTTGGCTTCACCAATTCCTAGATGTGTGACCTTGAACAAGTTACTTAACCATCTTGTGCCTGTTTCCACATCCATCCAAGGGGAGTAACGACTGAGCCACGTGTTACTGGGAGGATTATATGATTAACACACATGCAGAGCTCAGACAGGGCCTGGGCCACGGCAAAGGCTCTGTGAGTGCTTGGTACCATCATTATGCTTCTCTGAGACTCAGTTTCCTCATTTGTGAGATGAGGGTATCATCTGCCTTCCAGGACAGCTTAGAGGATTAAATAGAACAGTGCCCCTAAAGTCCCTGGCACACAGCAAGGACTCAGCAAAGGCTAGTGTCTCCCTCCCAACTCCTCACCCTGATACTAAAAGCGGCAGCAAGGAGCCAGCTGTCTCCCCAGGCACGGGTGGCTCCTGTGTGCGGGGCAGGACCCGGCAGCTCGGTGGCATGAGGATGAATCACTCATGATCTGGCCTGGGAGCAGCTGAGCAAGGTCCCAGGCATGTGAGTATCAGGTAAATTGCTCCGGGCACAGGAACACTAGGGGTGAGGAGAGGTAATGAGAGGTGAGCCCCAAGGAAGGGGAGATGTAAACACTAGCTGCGTGCTGGTGGAGGAAACGCTCTGGGCGGAGAGAGCCCCCAGGAGCAGGGAGGGCTGCGCGCCCACACCCAGCAGAGCAGACCAGGGATCGCTCAGAGACGAGCCCAGGCGCTTCTTGGGAGCAGGTGGACCGAGCTTCTAGTTCTCCCGGCCCTGGAGAGGACACCACCTTCTTCTCTAGTTTAGGAGACCAGGAGAAGCTCAGGGGGCTGGAGTCTACACCCCTGGCTTTGCCCCAGCTCCTCTCCAAATCCCCAGCCTACCACCCCAAACCTTATGGGGGACCATGAGGGCAGTGGAAGGCTGAGGGACAGAGGGCCTGCCTCAAGCCTAGCTGGGCTTCTCCAAGCTGCGAAATGGGGGCGACCACAAGCCCTTCATGGCAGACTAGAGGACATCCTAAGGAGATGAAAGAAGGGAATGGTTTTGCCACTGCAAACTTGTGTAGAAGGGTAGACATTTATTTTTAAAACATCCTTTTGCTGGGCCTGGTGGCTCATGTAATCCCAGCACTTTGGGAGGCTGAGGCAGGAGGATTGCTTGAGATCAAGTTTGAGGCCAGCCTAGGTGACATAGCGAGACCCTGTCTCCACAAAAAATTAGCTGGGTGTGGTGGTGTCTGCAGTCCTAGTTACTCAGGAGGCTGAGGCAGGAGGATTGCTTGATCCCAGGAGTTCCAACCTGGGAACAGTGCAAGATCCTAACTCTTAAAAGCTCCTCCCCCCCCCCCAATAAACACTAGTCCTTTTCAGGCTGCTACAAAAAAACACAGAAAAAACTCCCCCCACCCCAAAACCATCCTTTAAAATCTCCCCATCCTTTCTGAGGGAACTGATCTAAGGCAAGGTCTGGCCGGGGTGGCAGGTGCTTACTCCAAGAGTGTGTGCCCTCCCCCACACCTGGGCCCACGGCAGCAGGAGGCTGCACTCGGGAATAATGGCTACAGGTTCACGTCTGGCACAGTGGTGACTCAGCTCTGCCTGTAGTGGCTCGGGAGGGTCACGGAAAAACACTGGCTGCTCCTCAGTAGGGTACCAGCAGCCAGGGTGGCCTGGGCAGAGGGGACCTGGCTCTATAGCGACTGGCCTCTGTGTTGGGCACCGGCTGAAGCTTAGTCCTCCTGCCACCCCCAACCTCCACCTCTGTGGGAGCCAGGTGCTCCAGTCTCACCATCTCCTTTCCACATGGGGACAGGGACTCAGAAGGGCTACTACTGCCTGCGGAGGCTGGCTGGGCAGGAGTGGGGGCACTCCTGCATTGTGCTTCTTTCACCCAGCACATACGGACCCTTTATCCTCTAGAACAAACTGGGGTCCCCTTCCACCCCAGCTCATGCCTGGAACCAGGGCAAGTCCTCAGGAAATGGTGGCAGAAGTGAGGGCACAAGTCGTATGGGCAAAGGAAATCTAGTTATAAACACACTGTATTTAAGGAGGTGCCACTGTCCAGCTGCATTTTTTAAAGTATCTGTGTTTTGAGCAGGAAGGTCCCTGGTACAACCAGGATTACATGTAGAGAGAAACCGGCTCAGAGGGGGTGCCGTTCGCCCTGCAGCCAGACTCGGGCTCCCGGTTCCCGCTGGGACATCCTCCTCTTGGCTTTGGGGCTCCACTTCATCACCTGTGCTACGCAGCTTGTCTCAGTCCTCACAAAAAGGGAGAACCCAGAAGCTGCTGAGCCCTTTTCATTTCCCTTTAGATTCCTTCTCCACCTCCCACAGCCTGTCTCCTTTACTCTGAAAAACCAGGGGGCCCTGAGGCTCAAGCCAAATGAAGAAACAGGACAGAATTCTATGAACCAAATACTTAAAGCTATATAAATTCACGAGGCTCCTATTCTCCGCGGGGGAGGCAGTGGCTGAAAGAAACCTGGTCATGGCCAGGTGCGGTGGCTCACACCTATAATCTAGCACCCTGGGAGGCCAAGGTAGGAAGATCGCTTGAGTTCAGGAGTTTGAGCAAAAGTGAGACCCCCTCTCTACAAAAAAAAGGAAAAAAAAACAAGGCATTGTGGCACACACCTGTAGTCCCAGCTACTCGGGAGGCTGAGGCAGGAGGATAGCTGGAGCCCAGGAGTTTGAGGTTGCAGTGAGCTAGGCTGATGCCACTGCACTCTACAGGGGATGGGATGGACAGAGCCAGACTCTGTCTAAGAAAAAAAGAAACCAGGTTGTGAAGTCTGACAGACCTTGGGAGAGTCCCTGAGCCTGTTTTCTCAACTGCAAAATGGGGTGGTGAATCTAACTCCTTACGGGGCTGTCGCGGGGCTGGATGTGTGGGCTCGGCTCAGGGGCTCAGAGCAGGGCTGCGGCATCCTCCCGCCAGGCCTCAGGCCTCTTCCGGTCCATGCTCAGGTCTCTTCCGGCTCTACCCACGCGGACGCAGGCAGCCGTCCTCCCGACATCCCCTGCGGCAGCTGCGGGTGCGCGTAAAAAACACCGCCCCGTCAGGCGCGCGTGCCCATACGTCGGCACTTCAAGCAGCCGGCGCGACTGCGCGCGCACCCCCAACGCGGGCCCCGCTCGCGCGCCCGCGGGTGACACGCTCGGCATCCCAGGGCGTCCGAGCTCGGGACCCGGGCCCGCGGCGAGCCGGCGGAGGGCGGGCGGGGCGGCGCGGAGAGGGCGGGCCGGCGCGGCGGCGGGCGCCTGTGGGAGGCCGGGCGCGGCGGCGGCGCTGCAGTCGCTGCGCGGGTGCGGCGCCATGGAGCGAGCGGGGCCGCAGAGCCGGCTGCGGAGCGCGGCGGCCCGGGCCGGACGCCGGAGCAGGGCGCGCGGGCCCTGGGCGAGTTCGCGGCGCTGCACGGCCCGGCGCTGCGCGCCTCGGGTGTCCCCGAGCGGTACTGGGGCCGCCTCCTGCACAAGCTGGAGCACGAGGTGCGGGCCGGGCGCCGGGCGGGCACGTGCGGCCGCGGGCGGGAGGGCGTCTGCGGCGCGGGGAGGCGAGCGCGGGCGTGCCGGCCGAGGTGAGGCTGGGGACGCGGGCGCCGTGACGAGCGACTTTGCGTGCTTGGCCAAAAGAGGGAGCGGTTTGGAGTTTGGCGCCAAAGAGTGACTGCAGGAGACCGTACCTGTGGCCCCGTCCTGCCAGGGCCTGAGGCCGGGGCTGCGGTGGGAACTTGGCTCCCGGTGTGTGCCGGCCCCTGAGCCGAGCCCACACATCCAGCCCCGCGACAGCCCGTAAGGAGTTGATTCCCACCCATTTTGCAGTTGAGAAAACAGGCTCAGGGATCTCCCAAGGTCTGTCAGACTTCACAACTGGTTTCTTTTTTTTAGACAGAGTCTGCTCTGTCCATCCCATCCCCTGTAGAGTGCAGTGGCATCAGCCTAGCTCACTGCACCTCAAACTCCTGGCTCCGCTATCCTCCTGCCTCAGCCTCCCGAGTAGCTGGGACTACAGGTGTGTGCCACAATCCTTTAATTTTCTATTTTTTTTTTTTTTTTTTTTTTTTTTTGTAGAGAGGAGGTCTCACTTTGCTCGAACTCCTGAACTCAAGCGATCTTCCTACCTTGGCTCCCAGGGTGCTAGATTATAGGGTGGTTGAGCCACTGCACCTGGCCAACCAGGTTTCTTTCAGCCACTGCCTCCCCTGCGGAGAATAGGAGCCTCGTGATTTATGTAGCTTTAAGTATTTGGTTCATAGAATTCTGTCCTGTTTTTCATTGGCTTGAGCCTCAGGCCCCTGGTTTTTCAGAGTAAAGGAGACAGGCTGTGGGAGGTGGAGAAGGAATCTAAAGGAAATGAAAAGGGCTCAGCGCTTCTGGTTCACCCTTTTTGTTGAGGACTGAGACAAGCTGCGTAGCACAGATTCTCCCCC